TTAAAGCCTTGGGCACGCATACATTTTGGCCTCAGGCCTTGGACATTCCGCCAAATCAAGAATCGTTACAAAATGAGGATCCTCGCTTCATTTCCAGCGCACAAAGGGCCGAAATATCGCAGAACAACACTCGGGCAGCGTGTGACGGTTTCATTGACCTTTAAAGGCATTAATCCGTACCAAAGTTGACCAATTCGAACAAATCTAAACTTATTCTAAAAATTTGAAGCTTTTGTCGGACATTTTTGCTTTCATTCAATAAAATTGTTTTTAAAAAAATGTAAAAACTATGGCGTTTGACTTTGTTGCTGTAATTGTTCGAAAAGTACTAAATAGTACAAAATTTGGTATTGGGTAAGGAAATGGAGCTGAAATCCTGAAATTTGATATAGATGTCACTTTTCGTGTCTGTTGTTTAAACCACCTCCATGGTTTTGGAAATGTGTACTATAATTTTTCGACAAACACTAACTGGTACTAAATTTGGTATTGGGTGACGGACAGGGGCTGGGATCCTCAAATTTGATACTGTGGTCTCTGTTGATATTTGAAATTCAGATTTGTAGGTGGTTTTGGAAATATGTACTGTAATTGTACGAAAAGTACTAAATATTACTAAATTTTATATTGGGTGAAGGAATTGAGCAGAAATCCTGAAATTTGAAGCGGATGTCACTGTTGGTGTCTGGTGTTGGTGGAACTGATTTTGAATATGTGTACCAAATGGTACTATATTTGGTATTGGTCTCTCTTGGTATCTGGTGTTGAGATGTGGTGGTGGTTTCGGAAATGCGTACTATAATTGAACGAAAAGAATTAAGTGGTACTAAATTGGGCAAGGTATATATGTATAGAGCTCCTGACTCCTAAATTTTGGTATTAAGGACTCTGTAGGGATCTGAGTTTGAGATACAGAGGTGGTTTTGGAAATATGTTCTGTAATTGCACGAAAATTACTAAGCGGTACTGAATTGGGTATTGGGTGAAGGGATACATCTGGAATCCGGAAATTTGATGTGGATGTCTCTTTTGGTGTCGGTGGTTATAAGAAAAAGAGCTGGTGTTGAATATGTGTACTATAATTGTACCAACTAGTACTATATTTGGTAATGGTTGAAATTAAAGAACTAAAGTCCTCATATTGGATTCTGAGGTCTCTGTTGGCATCTGGTGTTGAGTTACTAAGTTATTAGGTGAAGGTATTGAGCTGGAATCCCAAATTTTGATATGAAGATCTCTGTTGGTATCTGAGGTTGAGATATGGAGGTGGTTTTGGAAATACAACCCATATTTTTGTTCGAAAAGTACTAAATTGAACCAAATTTGATTCTGGACAAAGGGATAAAGCTGAAACCGTGAAATTGGTTGTTTTGGAAATGCGGTGGTTGCGATAACTCTTGGTGTCTAGAATTGAGATATGGAACGGTTTTGCAAAAAAGCACTAAATTTATGCCAAAAGTACTAAATGTTACTAATTTAGAACTAAATGTTACTAGAATGTATAGAGCTGGATTCCCGAAATTTGATATTGAGATTGGTAGTTGTTCTAAAAATATGTTCTATAATTGTTCGAAAAGTACTAAATGGTACTAATTTTGGATCACTGTTGGTCAACTTTAGTATTTTCATTCGTAATTTAAGGTTTTTAGATTAGGTTTTATATTAGCCGATAAATATCGGTACTCAAATTTGTTAGAGAATTCCACAACAGATTCCGATTTAAAAAAAAAAATGATTCAAGAATAATTTAAAAATTGTTATTATATTTTCAATTAAATTTCCTCTTATAAATTAATGTAGCAATGAAAAAAAAAACCTTTCTTGTTCTTCTTGGGGGGTAAAAGTCCGAAACCACTGTTGCTGGGAGATCTAGACATAGCATATAACGAGTGGAAGTGTCATCCAAATAAACCCATATAAAGCTTAAAGAATTACCACGATTTACCAGTTTAAAATAAATTAATATTTGTGAATAACTTTTCGTTTCTGGAATCTGTGAAAGCATGTGATTAAGACATGCATACCGTCATATCCAGTTGCCTATTTACATTTTTTTCTTTTTTTAATTTTTAATAAAATCTATTTTTTTTTTGTTTTTGGCTGAATGTCTGAATGAATATGCATATCGACAAATTAATAAAATCTCGTTATGTAGTAGAAAGAGCTACCACAAAAATGGAAAACTACTTTTGAACAAGTTTTTTTTTTTTAAAGGTGAATTTTTTACCATTTTTTACCGAAAAAATAAAACGTAATTTTTTATAAATTCAATAAATTTATTATTTTTTTAATTACATGCATTAAAAATTTGGCATAAATAATATAAATAACTGCTTTATAATATAAATTTGGAATATTAATTTTATTTGGTACCTATTCCATATAATTTCCAAAGAACTTTATCCAAATCATTATAGACTTTAAAAAAAAAAAAAAAAAACTGAAACAACTTTCAAAAAATTCTTAATTCTCCAGTGGTAAAAAATAGTTTTATATTTTTTTTAATGCTGAGCTGGCCACACATAAGTTGGTGACATTTGAAAGAAACAAAAAAAAACCAACAAGTCTTTGACCGAATTAAAGAGATTTGTATTTTTCGGTGTTGTTTTGTTGTTGCTGCTGGGCCAAAATGTTTTTCGAATATTAAACAGGTTATGGGAAAGTTTATTCGAAATATCCAATTTAGGCACGTTGTAATGATATGCATATGATTAGCATCTAATTAATAATTTCAGTTCAGTTCATTTCGTTGCGTTTTGATTTGATTTTATTTCTATTTCTCTGAAGGGGGGCTTTTGGGACAAGAAATAGACATAGCCCGGGGCGAAAAAAAAAACAAAACTGGTTCGATTTTTTTTTTTTTTTTTTTTTTTGAAATATAAACAACAAATTTATAAATTAGTAGATTTTTTGTAAATCCAGACATACATACATATTTTAGCATTATTTATCCAAATCTCCTTAAATATATGGAAAAATGTTTTAGAATTTCTTTTGCGCTTCAGAAATTGTGGCTTTAGGGGTGATATTGATAAATTTTCTATTAAGGATTAATCGGTTGATCTTTTGTATATAGTAAGAGAGGTTCTGCAGATCTTAAGCTAGCTGTTATCTTTGTTTGAGATGTGCCGGTGGTTAGGAAATATGTCTTATATTTGTGCGAAAAGTACTTAATGGTACAAAATTTTGTATTGGGTCAAGAGATAGGGCTAAATTTCTCAAATTTGATATTGAGGTCTCTGTTGGTATCCAGAATTGAGATATGCAGGTGGTTTTGGAAATCTGTACGATTATATATGGGTATTGAGTGAAGGAATGGTGCTGTTATGGTCTCTATTGGCAGCTGAAATTGAAATATGGAGATATTCGTACTATACAGGGTGAGATGAAAACACTGCAACAAACTTCAGACGGTAAATATTGAAAAATGAGCTCGGGGTAAAGCCATTGAAATTCCCAAAAGGGCAAGAACTTACACCGCAACAGAAAGAAAATACACTCAAAAGAGCTAAAGAGTTTCTCCGCTTGGCCGAATGTGATGAACTGCCGAATTTGGTTTTCTCCGATGAGAAAACATTCGTTGTCCAGCAGTTTGTAAACAAACAGAAGTTACTTGCCAAAGAGGTCAGCTGAAAATGTGCACCTTCGGTTGGCCACCAGAACTCAAGCGCCGGCCATGGTGATGGAGTGGGCCGCCATAACAGCCGATGGTCGCTCTCCGCTCGTATTAATCGACCGTGGCATCAGAATAAATGTCGAATATTATCGCGAAAATATTCTGGAGGGTGTATTAAAGCCTTGGGCACGCAAACAATTTGGCCGCTGACCTTGGTCATTCCAACAGGACTCAGCACCATCGCACTCAGCACCCAATAATGGTTATAAAATGAGGTTCCTCGTTTCATTTTCAGCGCACAATGGGGAATTTTTTTCATAAGAGACACTGAACAATTTCGAATTTGTAGAATATCAAATTACAAAACAAAAAATCGGGTGGGCTAAAACTACACGTTTAGTGCACAATAAAGACAAATCGGACGAAGATATATTAATTGGAGCTATACCCAAATATGAGCCGATCTCGATAAAATTTGGAAAAGACATTCCTGATCTGTATGTGATACATTTCCCCAAATATCGTTGTTACAGAGTACATATTACAGTTGAGGAGGAAAAAAATAACAAATCGGATGAACAATATATGAGGGAGCCATAGCTATATCTGAACAGATTTCGATAAAATTTGGCATACCTATTTCCAAGCTTATTTTAGTCGTATATGCAAAATTCCATTCTAATTGGTCTAATATTACACGTTTGGTGCAAAATAAAAAGCTAAATCGGACGTGGACGTATATGGGAGCTACATCTAAATTTTTACCGATTTTTCTTTCATTTCAATAGGGTACGTCCTTGGCTCAAACAAATGACTTGTGCAAAATTTCATCTGGATCGGACAATAAATGCGACCTATACTTTGTTTACAAAAATACAATGACAGATGGACGAGCGTAAATCGGCTCAGAATGTATTTCTGGGCAAATCATCAAAAGGAACTATGGCTCTATCTCCTTTCCTTTTGCCTGTTACAAACAAATGCACAAAGACATAACACCCTGACCACCTAGTGGTGTAGGGTATAAAAACTTTCCAAAGAAAAGAAACCTGATCGAAACTAAAATCCGCCAAAACTCACTCAAATGGAACTTAGCATAGCTACCAATATATGTATTTTTAAATTCTTATAACTATTTATGTATGGAAGTAGGTTTATTTGTTTTTTCTATATTTTTGTATTTTTTTGTTGTCTAATTTTTTTTTGTGTTTTTTTATTTTGGATACCAACAATTCTGCTGATTCACTGAACTCTTGGCGATGTTTTTTTGTTGTTGTTCCTTTTTTTAATCATAGAACATTCTAAGACCATTTCGGTCCGGTCTGGCTGTCTGTCAGTCTCTTTTTTTTTTTTTTTTTGCTTAATTGATTGTGAAAATATTTACCTTTTTCTTTTCTGTTGAAGTTGTTCGGTTTTTTTGCAAAAAATCCAAAACGGTGTGAATTATGACGAAACGCAGCAGCAGCAAATCGAACAGGACGTTGGGACACAATTGAAAGACTGTCTTCTGATCGGTGATGGATGCTGAGAGTCGAGCTTTTGTTTTTGTACTATTTTTCAACGTTGTTTGTTGGGTTTCCAATATATTGTAAATATATTTTTGTTTATTTTTTAATTATTTAATTTTTTTCTCTCTATTTTTTTAAATATATTTTTATTTTGGTTGTAATATCTAATTTGTGTTTGCGTGTATTTGTATGTGAGGTTGTAATCACTTAATAATCGGTGTAGTGGGATTTTGAAGCATTTTTGGAAGTCTTTTTTTTTTCTTTTTTGAAGATTCCAGTAATTTTTTTATTTTGTTTTTTTGTTGTTGTTTTTTTATTTTTAAACTATTCCAAAAAATAAATTTTGTAAGCGTTATCGTTTGGTTTCTTTTATTTTTTACTGTCGTTGGTTAATCAACACTGAAATTATAGGGGAGATGGAAAGAAAAGATGATGAATTAGCAAAGGAAAGATAGGTCACTTTTTTATTATTTTTTTAAAATTTAGTATTCATTTAATATTTTCTTAAATATTTTTTTTTTTAATTTTTTTCACAAAATCCAAAAAATATTAGAATTCTTTACATTTCCAATTGTATCCGGCCGTACAAAAATTAATGTTTATTTTCTTCAATTATTTTTTTTTTCTTTTCGTTTTGGCGGCTATTGTGTTTTTAAGCGTTTAAGTTTCACAACACAACAATGAATGTCAACGTTAGGCGTGCGACTAAATATTGGCGAGTTAAGCCATTTAGCTAAGCTAAGTTTAAACTTTAAACGAAACAACGGCGACGCAGACGCCAACAGTGAAGGCAGCGATGCAACAGCGACGCACACCATGACGACAAATGTCTTGGCTGGGTTGGAAGAAATCACAGCCATGATCGTCAATCATTCTCATGCATGAACACTCTTTTCTCAGCCACTCTCTCCCTCTCTCTCTTTGGGTGAGAGCCAGACGTAACACACATGTTTTGTCAACAACAAATAGCCAAACTTTACATTTACGCACCGTTGACGTTTACACTCTCGCGACAAGTGTGACAGGTAACTTGCCTCTTAAATTAACGAAGCTGACAACGGCGACGACAACGTTCTCTGTCCGTTAAAATGGTAAACAGACAGAATCAAACTTATCACCAGACTTTGTTCGGACAACAAGGGCAGACGTCGGTCGTTTTTTTGTCGTTTGGGATCCAACGAAGAAAAAACAAACCTGCCGCTCAAAGTTTCGTTAATTTAAGAACGTCTACGTTTTTTCTTTTCTGGCTTTTGTTCGATACCTAATATACCTGCGACCAAACGTCTACAGCTGGCGACTTGAAATGAATATTTTAAGCAACAATTCGGATATGTTTGAACGAACCAGCAAACGAATGAACGACTGACCGAGCGACCAACCAACCCAATCATACACACATGCTCAGGTGCAGTCACCAGGCTAGGCAGAGCTAAGCGGGATGGCAGCAGCTTTTCTAGAGGTAGGCAGGCCTGATCAGCCAGCCAGACAACAGACAAGACACAACACCATTCAATTCCAACTGAGATTTCTGTGTAATTATGGATTGACGCAGCAGTCGATCATCATGCCGCAACAAAAAACAACAACAACAACAAGAAAATATATCGACATATCTATAGAAACAAAAACAACAGCAACAAAAATATTAACAAACTGGATTTTCTTTAATCGAACAACAGACAGAAAAAAACAACATGATCACCATTTAGAATTGTAAAATGCCGCTGACTCTTCAACGATCGATCGATTGAACTGACGGACCGACTGTTCGCTGACTGCCTAGGTATCAGTTTGTTTTTGTGTTATGGAATTTACTTTTCTTGTTTTGTTGCTCGCATTAATGCCATGGGGCTTAAGGGGATTCCCTTTCCGATTTATTTACGGAAATACAAAAAAAAAAAACAAGAAAATCAGAAATGAAACGTCTCACATAACTGACACTGAACACTCTTCGATGCTTCGAACAATGTTGCAGGTGATTTGTTTTATTTTTTTTTAATTGGAAATCGAAATAGAACTCAGCAGAATTGATGCAAATCAATATTTGGTTCCGATCAAGTGCAAAGAGTGAGAAAAAAATAAAAACGAAAAAAAAAATTATATATTCTCCGTGTTATGTTATGAACAATAATTTGGATTTAGCTGCCACTCATTTAACTGCAACTTTTATAATTCGTACGACGTACGTAAACCGAGTTTCTTCCAGTTTTGACAAGTTTTTAATTTACCTGCCAAAAAAAAATACTAGATTTTTTTTTTTTTTGAAACAAAAACTCGTTCAGCATAGCGCCAGCCCATGCGAATTATTGGCCCATGCGAATTATTCGTTTTGGGTGCATCGGCTGACACCATGTAAAGGCTATACCAAAACGTAGAACTTAATTTGGATTTAGCTGCCACTCGTTTAACTGCAACTTTTATAATTCGTACCAAAAAATATAAAAATCGAGTTTCTTCCAGTTTTTGATAAAATCTATTCTTTAAGTGCCACTCGTTTAAGTGCAAGTTTTTAATTTACCTGCCACAAAAAAAGTTACTGGAATTTTTTTTTTTGTTTTAAAACAAAAACTCGTCAACATAGCCCCATGCGCAGTCCATGCGCATTATTCGTTTTGGGTGCATCGACTGATCCAATATAAGGGCTATACCAAAACGTGGACCATTTTCATTAAATCTTGTTATTAACGTCTCTAAATAATATGAAGTCAAAATATCAACATTTGGAGATATTACATGGAAACAAGTAAAAAAGTAGTAAGTTCGGCAAGGTCGAACTTTGAATACCCTCGACCGCTTAAAAAGACTGTAGAAATGTTCATAGAAAAAAACTTCATATACGAAACTTTCAAACAATTCCGGTAAATAAAATCGCAATCATCAAAATACCGAATATCGGGAGGTACCGTTATATTGTTGGTATACGAAGATCTGAGCCTGCATAAGCAATGGATACTATTGTCACGAACTAGAAATATGAAATTTGAAACGATTTGGGTGAATAATGTCGCAAAAATCAACAAAGTACTGAATATAGGGAGGTATGGGGGCTATACGAGAACGTGGATCAACATAAATAATTTTCCGTCAAAGACTGTAGTACCCGTTACGAATTTCGAATACGAAGTTTGAAACAATTACGACGGTTAATATCGTTAAAGTTGTCGAATATATGGAGGCTATGCGAAGACCAGGTCTGCATAGGCAATTTTCTGTCACAGGTTGTAGTACCCGTTACGAACAGGAAATAGGAAATTTCAAACAATTCCGATAAATAATGCCTTTAAAATCATCAAAATACCGAATATTGGGAGGTTATATTGAGGCTATACGAAGACGTAGACCTGCACAGACAATTTTCTGCCAAAGGCTGTAGTATCCATTACGCACTTCAAATATCAAATTTGAAACGATTCCGGTGAAAAATGTCGCTTAAATAAGCAAAATACCGAAAATAAGGAGGTACCATTATATGGGGGCTATACCAAAACGTGTACCTACATGACCCATTTTCATTACCGATAGTCCTGCAAACATAATATACATTTGAGTGAAATTGTATCAACCTACTTCATTTCGTTCGGAAGCTAGAGTGATTTTCACAGACGGACGGACATCGCTAAATCGACATATAATTTTATGCTGATCAAGAGGTGTTACAAACGGAATGACACACTTAATATACCCTCCTTATTATGGTGGAGGGTACAATTAAGTTTGGGAAGTAGTGTACTAAATTCGGTACAATTTAGCTTTGGTTGAACGGATTGATCTGGAAATAAAAAAATGTTAGTATTGGAGTCTCTGCTGGTGGGTAGAGTTAAGTTAAAGATTTGGGTCTGGAAATGAGCTCATCAAGCGTACGAAAGGTACTAAGTGTTACTAAATTTGGCATTGCGTGAACGTGAAGTCTGAAATTAGGCATTAGGTCACTGTTCTTGTATAGTGTTGAAACTTAGACACGGTTCTGCAAATACGTACTCAAAAATTATAAAATTGTACTAAATTTAGATAAGGGATTAAGTCGGAGGTCTAAAATTTGGCATAAGGATCATGGCGGGAACTAAATAGTTATGACTTCAGTATTTGAGGAAGGAATAGACTAGAAAACTGAAATTCCATTCGGCAATGATTGAAAATTGAGCTCGGGTTAAAGCCATTGGAATTCCAAAAAGTGCAAAAACTTGCACCGCAACGGAAAGAAAATAGACTCAAAAGAGTTGCTTCGCTTGGCCGAAAGTGGTGAACTGCCGAATTTGGATTTCTCCGATGAGAAAACATTCGTTGTCCAGCAGTTCGTAAATAAACAAAATGATCGATACTTGCCAAAGAGGTCAGCTGAAAATGTTCACCTTCGGTTGGCAACCAGAACTCAAGCGCCGGCGATGAGTTCATGTGTATTTCGAGGAGCTACAAGCGGAATAACAAAATTAATATACCCTCCATAGGGTAGGTAATATATCCTCCATAGAAGGGTACCAACAAATTCGATCTTCGAATCAATATTTGCAGAATCAAACAAACTTACAACATCGTTCAAGTCGAGCCTCCCCTCGGAATTTTAGCTTACAACACAAATAAATGTGCTCCAACATTTTATTACACATTCGATAAAGCCTATATACATGTATCCAACTAAATTTTGGGTGCCGACGCTAGCTATAATTACCGACAACGCTGTCGCCGCCACCACCTCCGAACATGTGCTCTAGAATATTTGACCACAAATCTCTAATTTTGAATCATTTCCAGTAACAACCGCAACAACAATAATAAAAACAAGTACATACAGCTTCCACATAGCCACAGCCGCATTACCTTTCAGTCTACCCCACCCCCCTGGCAGCCTCAAATACAATTCATTTGGGTATTTTAATCAAAAGCAACAATAACAACGACGACACAGCCGTCGACATCAACAACAACAAAGATTTCATTTATTGCGAATAAAAAGGCCGGTTGTGGGTCGAGGAAAGTCTGTCCAGATTCAAGTGAAATATTGAGCTGAGAGAAAGACATAAAAAACTACTGTAATAATAAAAAAGAATTGTTTATTAAGATTTTAGAAAAAATAGAAATGTGAATGTATTTTCACACATGTGTGTGTATAAGCACGTGTGATGGCAGAATTATTGGGGAATTCAATGGCTGCTTTAGATTGGATTGTTATATATTTTTATTAACTCAGAAATATGTCTGCAGAGGGTATATATCGTTTGATACGGTTAAAATGTGCCTCATCGAAGTAACAGTTGTAGACCCTAGGTCTCTTTGGACCAAATACGTTTCAGCGCATTTGGAGTCGACCTAACAACGTCCATCCCTCCGTCCGCCTGTCTAGCTGGCACGCACGATAACTCTCGAAGACAGTATCCGATTTGATCCAAACTTGGTACATCGTAATATTATTGTCAAACTTAGATCGAGTTCGGAGATGGCAAATATCGATCCACTCCTTCTGGTACCTCCCCCACAAAATGTCAACATTTTCAAAGAAAATAATCCGACTTTGCTCAAACTTTTCATATCCGAATATTTTCATCACAGCTAGGTCAGGTGCGAAAATGGACAATATCAGTCTACTGTATCAAGTACCTCCTTCACAAATGGTCAAAATTTTGAATATCAATGAAGCTCTTAAATCGCTAAATTAACATCTGATTCCATTCAGATTTGGTACACCTCAATGTTTGCACCAACACACGACACAAGATCTTAGAGGTCGGAACCATTCCT